CGCGCGCACACACACACACACACACACACACACACACACAGATGTGTTCCACATGAACGTGTGGCCTGGGGGCTCTCGGCCCGGGTGTAAACCCCCTGCAGGTAGGCAGCCCTGGCGTCTGCTCCCTTCACACCCTCCAGGGAAGGAGTGTCTGCACCGGCTGCCCTTCGCCCCTCCCTCCGGTCTCTCCCCTGGGGCCAAGGCAGTTTCACCGGTGCTGGGGAGACCTTTACCGTCTTGGAGCCTTTGGGACTTCACAGATTCCTGGTGTGCCCCTCCCTTCCTGGCCCGACCTCAGCCCCGACTCCTTTCTCCCAGAGGCCCCGGCTGATGCAGTAGGAAAGCCCCAGCCTGCGAGTGTGACTGCAGATTCTCCCCAGGGAGCCTTCTTCCCTCCCTTGGCTCCTCACTGCGTCAGTGCTGGCTCCCCTATCCATGCCTCCAGCCAGATCTCTGTAGGGCCAGTGAAATGTCTAACGGACATCTCAAACCCAAACATCCAGACAGACCTGCCCTCTTCCCTTCCCCTGCCTGCTAGACCCCAAACTCTCCCTTGACCCCCGCAGCCCAATTCTCAGTGCGTCCTAATTCTTCATGGCCTCCCACCTCTGCCCTCAGGCCGCCCTTCTCCCGCCTCGGGCTGGAATCGCTCACTGGTCAGCAGATCCCCCTTTGCGTCCACGGCGCTGGCCACTCAACATCCACGAGCTGGAAGCCTGAATAGGACCAGGCCTCTGCAAGGTGTGAAAACTCCCAAGAGCTTCTCCACACTAGAGAAGCCCGTTAGCACGGGGAGGCCCCACAGCTGCCCTCTGGCATGGCCGCTCTGGAAGCCTGTCCCTGTCATCCCTGGGCCGGGTCTCTGCCCAGTGTCCCCCCGCCTAACAGTCTGTAGGACCTGCTTCTGTCTTGTCCTTCTGTAAGTGCCCAGGGCCAGCTTAGGCTGGATCACAGCGGCCTCAATAAGCATGTGCTGAGTAAGCGGACAAATGAGTGCACACACATGTGGGTCGGCCAGGTGCTTGCACATGGACACACCCTCAGGCACACACCAGGCACGGAAGTCACACGTACAGGGGGGTCGGGGCATCGGCGACGGGTCACCAGGGCCCAACAACCCCTGTAGAGAGCTGTGGGCAGCAGAGGCATCCTGCATTCAGGTGACCCCTCAGAACCCATCCGAGGGTCCAGCGGCAGGACCCCGGGCCTTATGTCTGCTCAGCCCACCTTCCTTGCTCAGTCCCCTCCTGTATTACCCCCCCCTGCCTCCCCGCCCCCATCCCCACGTACCAGGAACAGCCGCAACAGCAACACCAGCACAAGCAGCAGGGGTTGCGGCTGGGGGCAGCCGGGGGGGCCGCGTCATGACTGGACATCGAGGGGGGCTGGTCTGCCTCCTCTGGCCCTATGTGCTGGTGAGATGGGGGCTTCCTCAGCTCCAGGCCAGAACCCAGGGCCCCGCACACACCTCTTCCCTGACTCCCCTCAGTGGTCGCCCTCCCGGCCTCCCAGGTGTTCAAGGGTCTCCCCCGCCCCCGATCCCACAAAGGGGGGCAGAGACAGGGGTGTAGGTGGTGCACCTGCTTCTCAGTCTCATGCGGGGTGGGCATGGGTGGGTGGTGGAGGCCGCCCCGGCTCCGTGGTGCTGGCTCCGGGACCCTCTCACCACAGCCTGAGAGTCTGAGAAGAGAGGTGGAGGTTCTCCCTGAGAACCTGAGACCACAGTCTCCACTGTCCCCTAGAAGGGGTCCTGAGAGTCTCTCCCTCCTTCCAGGAGCCCTGGGGGGAGCAGCTGCCCGCTTTAGACCACTCTGTTCAGGCTCCTACCTCTGCCCCCAGCCTACACCAGGGCTGTGAGCAGGGGCAGGGGCAGTGGGGGGGGGCCCCAGACGAGATCTCCACAGAAGGTTCCGGGACACCCCCATTTGCTCTGTCCCTGGGAAGCCGGAAGTCTGGGTTCCTCTTTCTTGGTTTCCGGCTCCTGGCCCCTCCCAAGGGGCTGGGGGCCCCCAGGAGTCTGGGGCTGTCAGGTTAACGCATAAGGGTAGCGCTCAGACATTCAGACCCCCTTCCTCAGCTCCCTCTGTTCTGGGTTTTCTGCAGGAGGATTGCTCCCCACTAGGAGTCCAGATTTGCCAGGTGGCCCCGGGGCGGGGGGGGGGG